TTATGCAGCCATCAAAAATGATGAGTTTATGTCCTTTGTAGGGACATGGATGAACCTGGAAACCATCATTCTCAGCAAACTGACAGAAGAGCAGAAGATCAAACACTGCATATTCTCACTCATAGGTGGGTGTTGAACAATGAGAACACATGGATACAGGGAGGGGAGTACTACACACTTGGGTCTGTTGGGGGGAAATAGGGGAGGGACAGTGGGGGGTGGGCTGTTGGGAAGGGATAGCATGGGGAGAAATGCCAGATATAGGTGATGGGGAGGAAGGCAGCAAATCACACTGCCACGTGTGTACCTATGCAACAGTCTTGCATGTTCTTCACATGTACCCCCAAACCTAAAATGCAATAAAATAAATTAAAAAAAAAAAAAGTTTACTTTCAGCAGGATTAGCATAAATGCTAGATTATACGTGGCCATGAGGGCTGGGACATCTCGTCGCTGATCCTCGCCGAGGCGATGCAGCGCGCGAAGGTGCTGGGCTGGGAGCTGCAGGAGCAACTGTGGCCTCATATGGAAGCCCTGGGCCTTGGCCTTCCCTCTACATCCCCGAGTTCATCGCGGCCAACCAGACCAGGCGCGCGGACAACCTCATCCCGGACTCGCGCCCGCAGCAGCTCGAGCAGATCCGCAAGAACATCCCAGACTTTCGGTCTAGCGCGGGGCTGGACAAAGTCATCGAGCTGTGGACGGCCAACACAGCGCTTCTGTGAGGTGGTTCCAGGCCTCAATGACAGGGCCAAGAACCCGCTGCGCACCACTGAGCGTGGCCTGCAGGTGTCTCCCTCTACGCTCTTCGCCGTCGCCAGCATCCTGGAGGGCTGTGCCTTCCTCAGTGGGTCCCCGCAGAACACCCTGGTGCCCGGAGCTCTTGAGCTCGCATGTCAGCGCCGGGTTTTCATGGGCGGAGATGACTTCAAGTCTGGCCAGACCAAAGTCAGGTCCGTGCTCGTGGACTTCCTCATCAGCTCTGGCCTCAAGACCATGTCCATCGTGGGTTACAACCACCTGGGCAACAACAACGGGCAGAACCTGTCGGCGCCGTTGCAGTTCCGCTCTAAGAAGGTGTCCAAGAGCAACGTGGCGGACGACATGGTACAGAGCAACCCAGTGCTCTTATACGCCCGGCAAGGAGCCCGACTACTGCGCGGTCATCAAGTACGAGCCTACGTGGGCTGCGACAGCAAGCTAGCTGGGTGAATAAACCTCAGAGCTAATGCTGGGCGGGACCAAGACAGTGGTGCTGCACAACATGTGCGAGGACTCGCTGCTGGCGGCACCGATCACGTTAGACCTGGCACTGCTGACTGAGCTGTGCCAGCGCGTGAGCTTCTGTGCTGACGCTGACCCCGAGCCGAAGACCTTGCACCCCGTGCTGTCCCTGCTCAGCTTCCTATTCAAGGCGCCGCTGGTCCCGCTGGGCAGCCCGGTGATCAATGCGCTTTTCCGCCAGCACAGCTGCATCAAGAACATCCTCAGGGCCTGCGTGGGGCTCCCGCCACAGAACCACATGCTCCTGGAGCGTAAGATGGAGCGCCCAGGGCCCGGCCTCAAGCAAGTCGGACCCGTGGCTGCCGCCTGCCCTGTGTCGAACAAGAAAGGACCGGAACCCGCTTCCACCACCGGCTGCACCAGTGATGCCAATGCGCACCCACAAGTGGAGGAACCCCAGATGCCCACCACCTGGAGCCCCTGTCACAGCTTCCCAGCCCTTCCTCCCTGCTGCCCCCCAGGACCCCACCTTTCCAGGCCACCCCAAAGACAAGAAAGTGGCTGCCACTCTCAAAAAAAAAAAAAAATTACAAAGGTTGGAATGACAGAGGAGTAACAGTACGAAGAAACTTACTTTTCGTTAGTAACCATGATGATAATATATACATTAGAAATTGTGGTATCAGATATTCTGTCATGTTTGATAGCTACACATTAATAATGTGAATAAAATCAATATTTACTTTTTTTTTTTTTTTGGGACGGAGTTTCGCTCTTGTTACCCAGGCTGGAGTGCAAATGGCACGATCTCGGCTCACCACAACCTCCGCCTCCTGGGTTCAGGCAATTCTCCTGCCTCAGCCTCCTGAGTAGCTGGGATTACAGGCAGGCGCCACCATGCCCAGCTAATTTTTTGCATTTTTAGTAGAGACGGGGTTTCACCGTGCTGACCAGGATGGTCTCGATCTCTTGACCTCGTGATCCACCCACCTCGGCCTCCCAAAGTGCTGGGATTACAGGCTTGAGCCACCGCGCCCGGCCATCAATATTTACTTTGAAAAAAAAAACAAAACAGGCATGCAATGCATAATAATCGCATCATGGAAAATAGAGTATCCATCCTCTCAGGCATTCATCCTTGTTTTACAAACAGAGCAATTACATTCTTTTAGTTATTTTTAAAACTACAATTAAGTTAGTATTGATTCTAGTCACTCTATGGTGCTATCAAATAATAGGTCTTATTCGTTCTTTCTATGTTTTTTGTACTGATTAACCATCCCCACCTCCCTCCCAATGCCCCCTTACTACCTTTTCTAGCCTCTGGTAACCATCCTTCTACTCTTTATGTCCATGAGTTCAACTGTTTTTATGTTTAGATCCCACAAGGAAGTGATAACATATGATGTTTGTCTTTGTGATCTCCAGTTCCATCCATGTTGTTGCAAATGATAGGATCTCATTCTCTTTTTTTATGGCTGAATACTATTCTATTATGTATATGTACTTCATTTTCTTTATCCATTCATCTGTTGATGGACACTTAGGTTGCTTCCAAATCTTAGTTACTGTGAACAGTGCTGCAGCAAACATGGGAGTGCAGATATCTCTTCTTGTGCACTTCCTACTTAAGAACTGGAATGAGCTGTTTCCCTAAAGGGCACTGTTTTCTTGTAGTGAGAAATGCTATTTTGAGACCACAATCTAGGCACCGGCCTAGCTAGCTCATTACTGTTAGGTTTATTGTTATTTCTAGGCCTTTTTATGGAACAGAGGGAAATACAGGTTTTTTTTTTTTTTTTTTTTTTTTTTTTTTTTTTTTTTTTTTTTTTTTTTTTTTTTTTTTTTTTTTTTTTTTTTTTTTTAAGGGAAAATACATTGTGAGTGTATTGCTAATACTTCCTATTTAAATGTAGAATTACAGGTTTTAAAAGAATTTTTTTTTTTTTAGACAGAATCTCACTCTATCACCCAGGCTGGAGTGCAGTGGTGCAATCTTGGCTTACTGCAAGCTCTGCTCTGTGAGTTCAAGCAATTCTCCTGCCTCAGCCTCCTGAGTAGCTGGGATTACAGATGCGCACCACCATGTCCAGCTAATTTTCTGTATTTTTAATAGAAACGGGGTTTCACTATGTTGGCCAGGCTGGTCTCAAACTCTGGCCTCAAGTGATCCACCTGCTTTGACCTCCTAAAGTGCTGGGATTACAGGCGTGAGCCACTGCACCTGGCCTAAGATATGTTATTAAAAGTACTTATAGGGCAAGCACTTTGGGATGCCAGTGCAGGAGGATTGCTTGAGGCCAGGAGTTCAAGACCAGCCTGGGCAACATAGCAAGACCCCAAGCATAGTAGCATGTGCCTGTAGTCCCAGCTACTTGGGCAGCTGAATCAGGAAGATCACTTGACCACAGGAGGTCAAAGCTGCAGTGAGCTATGATTGCACAACTGAACTCCAGCCTGGGCAACCGAGAGAAACCTTGAAAAACAACAATAACAACAACAACAAAAATGTGGTTATTAGAAACCTATTCTTATAAGTAATATAATTTAGAACATTATAAATATTTACATGTACATGAGAGTTACTTTTGTTCTGTGGTTATTACTAGGATGCTGCTGGAAGAAGTAAGAGTGCTCACCACATATTTTCTGTTCAAGAGAATAATCATCTCAGTTTTGATCCCCTGGCATCATTTATTCTCCTTACTGATCACTATATCATAGTAAGTGAATTCAATTAAACATTACATATGTTACTGGATTTGGTAAATGCAGTCCTAAATAATATACAGTAGTCCTCCTTTATCTGTGGTTTCACTTTTCATAGTTTCAGTTACCCAAGGTTATCCATGTCTGAAAATATTATATATAATAAGATATTTTAAGACCATAATCCTATAATTTTATTATGGTATATTGTAATAATTCTCCTATTTTATTATTGTTGTTAATCTCCTACTGTGCCTAATTTATAAATTAAACTTTATTATAGGAATATATTTACAGGAAAAAACATAATATATATAGGGTTCAGTACTATCTGTAGTTTCAGGCATCCACTGGGGGCGAGGGGGTGACCTGGAATGTATCCCCTGTGGATAAAGGAGGACTATTGTGATCATATGACAAGAAAGTTGAATCTCATAAAATTGAAGTTTAGTTATTTGTCTAGAAGAATAAAATGTTTTTAAGTTTATTTGGATTAAAAGAAGCAGAGGCATGGATGAGTCATTTGGGATGTTATAAAACCAGAATAACTAAGGGAGTTACAGGGCCTATGCTAACTTGGGGTAAGGCTTTTTAAAGAGTATTTATTTCCACATCAATAATGCATGCTCAAAGTAGAAAACTTGGAAAATTTAGAAATAGATAAAGTGAGATCGGCCCCACATCTTTCTTTTATCACACTATCCATTATAACCATTGTATTTGTCATTATGATACTCTATTTATCTTCTCTCTTATATACATATGTATATGAATTTTTGACATATTATTATACTTTTATTCTCTTTTGCTGTCTGATTTTTTCCACTGAGTAATTTGTCTTGACTATTTTCTCACATCAATTTATATTATAACATATTAGCTGCATTATATTG